TTTTTGAAGAGGCAAAACAAATGTCAAGATTTCTGAATCTGAATTTAATTTCAGATTAAATTTTATTACCTCCTCCAAACAATTTCTGTGGCTCCCCAAACTGCCATTTCTAATGTAGACAAAAATGTAAGGAAGATCCAGCAATTCCACTTCTGGGGGGAATTCCACCCAATTTCACTGAAAAAAAATGAAAGCAGGGACTAAAATAGATATTTATGTTCATACTAGCATTATTCACAATAGCCAAAATGTGGAATCAAGCCAGTGTCCATCAGTGGATGAATGGATAAGCAAAATGTGGTATCTATATTCAACAGAATATTATTCAGCCATAAAAGGAAGGAAATTCTGACACATGCTTGAGGACATTATGCTAAGTGAAATAAGCCAGTCCGGAGGAGGTGGGGGTGGGGGAGGAGGGAGGGGAAACAGAAAGACTGCAGTAGCCACATTCTGCATTTATCGTTGCACTGGATCTGAAAGTCCACACAAAACACGACTCTTGACTTGAACACCTAGAAGCGCTAGTCTTTTAAATCCCTAAGAGAACAAGAAGACATGATTTTTCCTTCCAGAATTCCTGTGGTTAGACAGTGAGTATATTTATTTCATTTTGACATATATATATAATGTTTATCCATTCTTTCATCAAATGTAACTTGAATACCTGTTATGTAGCAGAGACATATTCCACTCAGATTCTACTCAGAACCCTTCATCTATCTCTTAGAACCCTTTCGTTCTTTCTTTTTTATTTTTATTGGGGTATCGTTGATTTACAATGTTGTGTTAATTTCTGTACAGCAAAGTGAATCAGTTATACATATACATATATCCACTCTTTTTTAGATTCTTTTCCCATATAGGTCATTACAGAGTATTGAGTAGCACATTTCCTTTGCTCTAGAGTAGGTTCTTATTAGTTATCTTTTCTTTTTCTTTTTTTTTTTTTTTTGCGGTACGCGGGTCTCTCACTGTTGTGGCCTCTCCCGTTGCGGAGCACAGGCTCCGGACGCGCAGGCTCAGCGGCCATGGCTCACGGGCCCAGCCGCTCCGCGGCACGTGGGATCTTCCCGGACCAGGGCACGAACCCACGTACCCTGCATCGGCAGGCGGACTCTCAACCACTGCGCCACCAGAGAAGCCCCAGTTATCTATTTTATATACAGTAGTGTGTATATGTCAATCCCAATCTCCCAATTTATCCCTCCCCTACCTTCCCCCCCAGTAACCATAAGTTCGTTTTCTACATCTGTGATTCTATTTCTGTTTTGTAAATAAGTTCATTTGTATCATTTTTTTAGATTCTACATATAAGTGACATCATATGATATCTGTCTTCCTCTGCCTTACTTCACTTAGTATGATAATCTCTAGGTCCATCCATGTTACTGCAAGTGGCATTGTTTCATTCTTTTTTATGGCTGAGTAATATTCCATTGTATATAAGTACCACGTCTTCTTTATCCATTCATCTGTCGATGGACATTTAGGTTGCTTCCATGTCTTGGCTATTGTAAATAGTGCTGCTATGAATGTTGGGGTACATGAATTAACTTTTATATTTTAAATGCATTAAGAGATATGAAATTCTTGTAGAAACTTTCATTTTTTGTGGGAGTAATATTTACACATTGTTCAATGCTTTGAACTCTTAAATGAAAGTTCTACATATGAACACAAGAGTATGAAACAAATATCTGTCCTTTATTTGAATACTTAGGCAGAGAAGAAAGTGAAAACTTAAAATGCATGGAGAATCCCAAACTTTTTTTTTTAATTTAATTTTTTTCATTGAGTGTATTTTATTTATTTATTTATTTATTGGCGTACAGTTGCTTTACAATGTTGTGTTAGTTTCTGCTGTACGGCAAAATGAATCAGCTATATGTATACATATATCCCTTCTGTTTTGGATTTCCTTCCCATTTAGGTCACCACAGAGCACTGAGTAGAGTTCCCTGTGCTATACAGCTGGTTCTCATTAGTTATCTATTTTATACATAGTAGTGTGTACATGTCAATCCCAGTCTCCCAGTCCATCCCACCCCCCCCCACTTCCCCCCTTGGTATCCATACGTTTGTTCTCTATGTCTGTGTCTCTATTTCTGCTTTGCAGATAAGTTCATCTATACCATTTTTCTAAATTCCACATATATGTGTTAATATACAATATTTGTTTTTGTCTTTCTGACTTACTTCACTCTGTATGATAATCCCTAGGTCCATCCATTCTCTGCAAATGGCACACTTTCGTTCCTTTTTATGGCTGAGTAATATTCCATTGTATATATGTACCACATCTTCCTTATCCATTTCTCTGCTGATGGACATTTAGGTTGCTTCCATGCCCTGACTATTGTAAATAGTGTTGCAATGAACATTGGGGTACATGTCTCTTTTAAAATTATGGTTTTCTCTGGGTATATGCCCAGGAGTGGGATTTCTGGGTCATATGGTAGTTCTGTTTTTAGTTTTTTAAGGAACATCCATACTGTTCTCCACAGTGGCTGGATCAATTTACATTACAACTTTGTTTCACTCGTTTGTTTCAGCCTTTCTTCCCATCATACATTTTTCACTAGAGCTGCTAAAGTAGAGAGGGTTATTCATTCTGCCCCCAAATTTAATTATAAAATATGAAACATATATTTAGAAAATTTAAAAACATATAATAAAGTTGAAGGGATTGTAAACACCATGTATCCACCACCTAGATTTTAAAATTAATATTTTTCTATATTGTTCTATCATATCTATTCATCTACCCATCCCTCTATCTACCCATCAATCTCTTGTTTTTTGTTTGTTTGTTTTGTATTTCTTAAAGTAAGTTTCAGGTTTCAGTGCATTTCAGCCCCAAATACACAAATGCAAGCATATCACTGGCTAGAGTTTAATAGTTTGTTTTTTTAAAAAACATTTTTTTAATATTTATATGTTTTTATTTTTAAATTTATTTTATTTTTGGCTGCGTTGGGTCTTCATTGCTGCACGTGGGCTTTCTCTAGTTGTGCAAGTGGGGGCTACTGTTTGTTGCGGAGCACAGGCTCTAGGCACACAGGCTTCAGTAGTTGTGGCACGTGGGCTCAGTAGTTGTGGCTCATGGGCTCTAGAGAGCAGGCTCAGTAGTTGTGGTGCACAGTCTTAGTTGCTCCACAGCATGTGGGATCTTCCAGGACCAGGGCTCGAACCCGTGTCCCCTTCATTGGCAGGCGGATTCTTAACCACTGTGCCACCAGAGAAGACCTAGAGTTCAATAGTTTTTAAGGATTCTCTTTTACTTTTTCAGTAAAACATACATATGGTGAAAGACATACATCTTAGTGTACTAGTTAATGTTTCACAAAGACATATGACTTAATATGCTTTTTTATAGCAAACCCCTATCAAGACAGGGTGCATTATCATCACCCCAGAAAATTCGCGCCGGCCCATTCCCAGTCCGTGCTCGCCACCATTCCCCTAGAGGCAAACGCTGTTCTGGTATTTTTCAACATAGAATAGTTTACCTGTTCAAGAACTTCTTACAAATGGAATAGTATAGCACGTACATGGCCCAAGATGTCTTTCATTCAACTTGATGCTTTTGAGATTGATCCATGCTGTTTTGTGTATCAGAGGTTCATTCATTTTTATTGCTGAGTTGTAGAATATTCCATGGCTGTTTATCCATTCACCCATTGATGGACACCTGAACTGTTTCTGCTTCCTGACTCTTATGAATAAAGCTGCTGTCAACATTCTTGGACACATCTTTTTTTTGAATTTTATTTTATTTATTTTTTTATACAGCAGGTTCTTATTAGTTATCCATTTTATACATATTAGTGTATACATGTCAATCCCAATCTCCCAATTCACCCCCCCCCACCCCCCTGCCACTTTCACCCCTTGGTGATTAGACACATCTTTTTGAGGACATGTGCTTTCAAATCCTGCGAGTAGAACGCTAGGTCAGATGCAGTTTAGTTTAGTATGTTACTTTTATATGAAACTTCCAGAACTTTTTTCAGAAGTGGTTGCATTAGTTAACACTCCCTCTAACAATATACAAGTTCCAGTTGCACCACATCTTCACCGACACTTGCTGCTGTCAGTTTTTAAAATTTTAAATACTCTAGTGGGTCTGTGGTAAAATGTCATTCTGTAAAAAAAAAAAAAAGGAAAAAGGAAGAAAAAGGGAATTCCTTGGTGGTCCAGTGGTTAAGACTCCATGCTTCCACTGCATGGGGCACAGGTTCGATCCCTGCTTGGGGAACTAAGATCCCACAAGCCAAAAAAAAAGCAACACAAGCAGCGCGGCCAAAAAAAAAAAAAAAAAGAAAATGTCATTTTGTGATTGGATTTAATGTTAACTGACAATTACAGCAAGCACCTTTCTATATGCTTAGCCATTTGTGTACCTTCCTTTGTTAAGTGTCTTACTCAAATATTTTGCCTTTCTATTTCTGTTTTTAAAATTTTTATTACTGAGTTGTAAGAGTTTCAGATATATATGTTTATATAATTTATATCTGACAAAAGACTGGAATCCAAGATATATATATGTAATTTATATAAAATACATAAACTATATATTTATATATAATTATACCTGAAAAAAGACATATATATCTCCCAGATTCCAGTCTTTTGTCAGATACACGGTTTTTGTGGGTTTTTTTTTTAAATTTTTGACTCTTGATGGTGGGATTGTGAGCGATCCTTTTTTTAAATATAAATTTATTTATTTATTTAGGTTATTTTTGGCTGCGTTGGGTCTTCATTGCTGCATGCAGGCTTTCTCTAGTTGTGGTGAGCAGGGGCTACTCTTCGTTGTGGTGTGCAGGCTTCTCATTGCAGTGGCTTCTCTTGTTGTGGAGCACGGGCTTTGGTAGTTGTGGCACGCGGGCTCAGTAGTTGCAGCTTGCGGGCTCTAAAGCGCAGGCTCAGTAGTTGCCCATGGGCTTAGTTGCTCCGCGGCATGTGGGATCTTCTCCAACCAGGGCTCGAACCTGTGTCCCCTGCATTAGCAGGCGTATTCTTAACCACTGCGCCACCAGGGAAGTCCGTGTTTGTTCATTTTTGATCTTACTCCTCTCCCTGTCTCTGATGGTTCCGTTTGTAAGTGGTGGTTTGGCAGATTTCTAGCATCAGGAGCGAAAACTGAAGTGCTTATATAACTCACAAACTGGATTAGTTGGTCTCTGAATGGCTGAGCTCACTATGTCAATATTCTTTCAAAAGAAGACCTCCTGTTTCATTATGCTGTAAGAGTGCATATCTAATTGAGGACTAGACTAAGTCCTGGCAAACTGGAAAGTCCATTTAATTTGTCTTCTTGGAATTCGTTCTTCTGCACCTCTTCCCAGAGCCACTGTGGTTCCTTCCACCCAGCTAGAAATGCTACCTGACCTCCAGATTTTCTCTCCACAGGCAACCCTCTGTGTTCCTGGCTCTTCTCCCTTCTAGTACCTACCAAAACTCTGTCCCCTCACCACCCCTGGGGCCTGTTGTCTCTTTGCTCAGCTGGCGTTAGTAAAGGGACAGAAACCTAGTTCTGTGACGGTGACTGTTGCCAATCTTCTCTCTTTCATAAGATAAATCTGCATTGGATATTGACCAGCCCCGAGACCATAGCATGAATCATAGAATGTAAAGTAACCCAGCCCCTTCATTTTTACTATTGAGAAAATGAATTTCCAGAGACAATCAATGACTTGTTCAAGGTCTCACACTAGCAGAACTTGTGCTAGAATCCCAATTCCTGACTACCAGTCGGCTCAAAGGAATGGCTGCAAGCATCAAGTCCGGTGGCAAGGTGTGGAGAGTGATAGCATCAGAGTCTTCTGCAAGGTTGCCTTCACTAGTGGACAGTGGCAATCAGAGCAGGATCACCTGGTGGGTTAACAGTGTCGATACTGTGTGATGAGAATTGAGAAAAGAACTGAGGATGTCGTCACTGGAAAAGAGGAAACTGAGTGAGAACTGAGGCATAGCTGTGGAGCGCCGGACAACAGAATCATGACCAAGGGGCCGAAGAAGCAGCCAATTTCAGCTTAAGACAAGGAAGGATTTTCTAACAATTAAAGGTGTCCACAGATGGAAGGGGTGGTGGCTGAATTCCCTTGGAGCAGCAGATGGTGAATTCTGTACCACTGGGAGCTTTCAGATAAGCCTCAACTAGGCTGTTGTAGAAGAGGCCCCTTTACTGGGTGGGATTTTAGATTAGATTCCCTCCTGGTCCTTTACAATCGTTGGAGTCTATGTTTTGTGTCCATCCCATGGCATAGACACATCTACCCTTTAGAGGGAAAAAGGCCTTCTGAATGCCCTAATACAGGCCCTTCCCTGCCCCGACCCCATACACCTGAGACACTGTATTGATGGGGTGGTGGTGTCTGGTGTGCTGTGGTGTGGTGTGATACGCCATGGTGTGAGGCTATATGGTGTAAAGTGGTGTGGTGTGTCGTCATATGATAGGAATCAGATAACCATGGCCAGAGTCTTCTAGGCGTTATACAGCCCCACTGTGGCAGGGACCAAATGGTATTGGAGCAATTTGGGTTGTCAAGGTGAAGTGTCAATTTAGTGATTTTTCTGAGCAGCACTGGCTACATCTTTGACAAGAAAGCAAGTCTTCTACGCCATCCTGCAACTGGTCTGGGAATAACTTGGCAGTCACAGTACTTATGTCACAACGAAGTGTACAAAGTAGGGTCACGTGCGTCACCCATTCACCAACGTTTTCAATTATAGGGCAGAGTCAGGTATTGAACTGAAAATAAATCTTATCTATTATTTATAGTTTTAAAATTGTGAATGTTTTCAATGTCTGCACTCTGAGGATGCTGATGTGGGGGAGGCTGTGTGTCTGGGGGTGGGGCAGGGGGCATATGGGAAATCTCTGTACCTTCCTCTCAATGTTGCTGTGAACTTTAAACTGCTATAAAAAATTGTCTTAAAAAAATTGTGAATGTTTTAAAGTTTCTGGTATAAAACAAATCACAACTCACATGCCAGTTCTGATAACAGATGAGCATGATTTCAAAAAAATGTTCATGGTATCTGGGGTTTATGGTCTGAATTTGTGTCCCCCCCAAGTTCCCATGTTGAGTCCTAACCCACAAGGAGAAGGTATTAGGATGTAGGGCCGTTGGAAGGCGCTTAGGTCATGAGGGTAGAGAACCTTATGAATGAGATTAGCATTCTTATAAAAGAGATCCCCCTCATCAAAAGCTCCCCTGCCCCTTCCACCATGTAAGGATAAAATGAGAATTCTACTACCCAGTAGTAGGCCTTTCCCCAACCATGCTGGCGTGCTGACCTCAGCCTTCCAACCTCAAGAACTATGAGAGATAATGTTTGTCATTGATAAGCCACCCAGTCTATTGGTATTTTATTACAATGGACTGAGCCTGAATGGACTAAGTGGACTTGAGGGCTAATTATCCTTAAACACTGTACCAGAATTCTCCCAGGAACTTCTGAGAGGGGCTACGCTTTGCCCAAGACCATGGATTCTGGACCCCTAATAATCTGTTTTATTTGCATATTTTCAAAACATGAAACTTGTTCTTATACAACACATTCAGGAACTCTGGGTAGAGAACAGATTAGCCCCTAACTTTTTGGTCTTAGTTCCTTTTTCCTCTGATAGAGCAGTTCTTCTTGATAAAATTGGTCTTTGAGAATTATTTATTCTGTGAAGGTTCATGGAGAAAACAGTATTTTGTTTTGGTTGGGTTGGGTTTGGTTAAACAGCTCTAAGTGCCTCAGAGGTAAAGTTCTAACTCTTCTGGGTAATTTCCTTTGAAAGAGAGCAAACATTAGGCAAAAGAAATCTATGTATATGGTCGTGCCTGGGTATCTGCCAGGGATTGGTTCCAGGACCTGCCGTGTATACAAAATCCAAGGATGCTAAGTCCCTTATATAAAATGGCATGGTACAGTCGGCTTCCATATCCCTGGGTTCCGCATCCGCGGGTTCCGCATCTGTGGAGACGGAGGGTTGACTGTAGCCTGGAAGACTGCGGCACAGAATGAAAATAGCATGGTTTATTGGAATCCAGTCTGAAGGGGTGGGATGGGGAGGGACAGGAAAGAAAAAGAAGGAGGAGAGGTAGAGAGAGGAGCAAGAAGAGGAGAAGAGGATGAGAGAGAAAAGGGGAGGAGAGAGATAAAGAGACACACACACAGAGATGGGTGTAACATCTCAACGCTATTTGTCCACCCTTTTGGTCCCCATGCTATCACCAAGTTCAAGAGGAGATGACACTGAATACAGCAACAGCGGTAGCCTTTCCAGTTGTCCCCCTGCCTCTAGCTTCCACCTCCCCTTCCCCCCAACTTCCCACCTCCACCCACATCCATTCTTCACATGCTTCTAGAATGATGGTCTCCAAGGCAGATGCTGGCGAAGTCTAGTCTCTGCCTCCTTCTCATCTTCTACCCCATCCCTGCTCCTTGGCGTCACGCAAAACTTGACGAGAAGCATCAACGACATCAAGAAGCCTGGAGTGAGAGGTGGTGTGATCTTTGACAGCCCTTGAGCCTGCAGCCTGGGCTCCCCAGTGGGCGCCCTGACCTTCCACATCTTTCTCTGAAGGGACCTGGAGTCCTGCTAATTGTTGGACAGGGTGAGACCTTGCCCTCTAAGAAGGAAGTCGTGGATGAAATGCCACTCGCTTTTGTTTCTTCCTGGCTATCCTGAAGATCTTCAAGCAGAGGTGTGTTCTGCAACATTCACAGCTGAAAGGTCATGCTTGACCACACTTATAACTAAAAGGACAGTATGATTCCTGCTGGAAGGTATTTAGAACAACCAAGCTATGTGTCTGTAGAGAGCTTTTCCTATGGTTTTCCTAACTGTTCACTGCGTTAAAGCCCATGCGGTTTGAGATGCTCCACGGGGGAGGGGTCACCTCCACCCTCACCTGGCCGCCTCCTCCATGCCTGCCCTGCCCCTCACATCACAGAACACTTCTGCTCCGCTGTCTGCCTGATCTCCGTGAAGGTGGCCTGGGCTTTTTCTTTGATGGAATCCAAGTCCATGTTCTGGAGATTCTGTAACTGCCCGAGAATAGAATCCTTATCTTCTTCCTCTTCTTCATCCTCATCTACCATTTTCCGGAGATCTTCGGGCAAATCCACATCATCTCCAGCCATCTGGATTTGGTTCTCGTCCATTTCACTCTGTGCGGCAAAACAAACACGGAGATGGAGAAGCCATTCTAAACCAAACACACAAATCCTGAAAGCAGCAGGGAGACAGAGGTCTGTTGCGGATGGATGGAGGGAATGGAACATTTGGCCACCTCGCAGCAGAGCCTGGGCCTGGCACCAGTTATGGAGGCCAGACATGCCGGTTGAGACACCCCCCACACACACCTTTCACTGCAGTTGGGTCGATTGGAACCTTCTAGCACAGTGGTTCTCAAAGTGTGGTCCCTGGACCGGGCATGTTAGAAAGACAAATTCTCCGCCTCCACCCTAGGCCTACTGAATCAGAAACTCCGGGGTGGGGGTCCAGCGATCTGCATTTGAAGAATCCCTCTCCTATCGTGCTGATGCCCCAAAAGTTTAACCAACTCCGCCTCAGGGCAGCTCTGCAAGCTTTGTTGTCTATCAGCCCCAGGCTGTCGTGACTCAGGGATCCCACTCTGGAGGGTGGGGTTTGGGTTCACAGGGCCAGACAGTGCTCCCTCGATCCAGCCATCTCTCTTCAGGGGCAACGTCTGTTTAACCATCGCCCCTTCCCTCCCTTCTACTAGACACAGAATCGCCTCAAACTCAACTTTACATCCTTATCACCTTGAAGCGAGTCTGGCGCACTGCTTGTTAAGTGAATCGTCCAGCACCGTCTAGCCTTGCGTGTCGCCCATGCCTTACAATTTCCTTTTGTGGTCCTAGTTGTGGCTGTCCCACGAGCTCTTAGTTCCTGCCGCCTGGCCTTGGAAATCCCTTTACCCTTAGGCTGCAGAGCCCTTTGTTTTGTAACAGAGAAGAATCTAGAGAAAAAGTTTCTCTGGGAAAGGCAAGGGTTTCCTTTCTCAGATGACTGCTCTTGGATATAATTTTCTGAGAGGTCTCAGATATAAATTTCTGAGGTTGTGACGTGAGGGAAACTGGGCTTTGGGGACACAGAAGTTTAAAAAGAGCACCAGAAAAGCGAATGACGGGAAAGATCTAAGTGATCTTGTGGTCTAAGTGGTGGGAAAGATCTAAGCAGACTGCAGGGCCCACCTCAAGGATGTGGTGACCAGCCTGGAATTTGTTACCAAAGGGCATGAAAAACCACACAAAGGCAAAATGATCATCTCAGTCTTAAGCAGACTGCATTGATTTGATTGGAGAAAGATCTGGGCACCCGCCAAGTCCCCACTTCTGACGCTCTGTAGCTCCAGACGTCTCCCATGGCCTTCGAGAGGCTGGAGACCACAGCCTTTCCCCAGAGCTCCTTTTATTTGGTTCTCTGGGTAAAGTGACAGCAAGCCTGGCTCCAGAAACAGGTTGAGAGGCCGACTTTTTTTTTTTTTTAACTCAAAAAGATTTATTCTAAATGTTAAAAGTTGACATAATTTGTTACAAAAGGCAGCAAAGGACTTTTGATATTTTCCCCCCAGAAAACTTCAGTTTAGGCAAAAACAATGTGAACTTCGCTCAGGATGAGGTTGTAAAAACCCGCTCTGGGCAGGGTATGCCATCATGTTGGCAGCCCCAGGGCACCATCGACAGATGAGGATGTGAGGCACCAGGGCGGATGCCTCAGCTCAGCCGTGATGGACAGGTTCCCCCATCGCTGGCCCCTGCTCAGTTATTTTCCTTTTGCAAACACAGTGGAGCTAGCTTCACAGAGGCAGTTAGCCAGCCCAAGAGAGAAGTCTCAGTTTTGTCTGGAAGGATCTGACGTGGTGTCTCTGCCGATCCTGTTCAGCAGCTCTGAGCTCTTTTTTTGTGCTGTCCACACGCGGTCATGGAGCTCAGCGGCTCACCTTCCAACGCGAAACTTCTAGATTACCTGCCCTGCCCTCCACAGAGTTCCCTCTTCGTATTTACTCCCTTGCTTTCTTTCCCCACCTCGGGAGGCCGACTTCTGATGCTGAGAAGACAAGGATGCCTTTGGGCGGCGTGGTCTTCACCAGGCCCTCACTGGAGACCCCTGGGAATGGCGACTCTCAGTGTGGACTCCCCAGGTGAGAGAAGCTTCTCTGTGCACTTGGCCAGGCCTCTTCCCCTCAAGGCACTTAACGGATTAATTAGTTCCTCGGCAAACTGGTGTGGGGATTAATTAGTTAATCCCCAGGGGCTCCCAGCCAATCCTCCATTTCTGTTTATTTTTTATTTACCTTCCCTCGAGGTTGCCCTTTGAGGATGGTCCTCAGGGCATTTTTACAGGGACGGGAGGGAAAGCAGGGCCTCCTGGTGATTCTCAGTTCACGTAACTGCGGGACCCCTGCGCACACATACACGATTTGCAAAGGCATTGCTGGGAATTCTGGTACCCCCGCCCCTCTTGTTCGTAATAAGATCTCTGCACATGGACAGAGTAGCTGCTGGGGGCCTGGAGGGACAGGCAGCTAGAGGGGCCAAAGGGCCAGCGAGCCAGCCAGTTGGTGCCCAAAGAGACCCGAGGCACTCAGGAGGGCTCCCGGGCCGGTGCTCCCCAGCACCCTCTTCACCAGGCAGCTCAGTGTTCTGCCTCTGCCGTTTTGGACCAGTTCGGGTTTATTTTTACCTCCTTCCACTGGCCCAGGGAAGGGAGGGTAGTGGGGTTCCACTTTGCCTCCCAACTCACAGAGGGGATCTGGGTCGGCACAACTTCTAGCCAAGTGGTTCTCAAAGTGGGGTCCCGGGGCCAGCCACAGCAGCATGTCCTGGAATCTTGTTAGAAAAGCACATTCTCACCCAGACCTGCTGATTCAGAAGCTGGGGGCGTGGGCCGAGCCATCTGTGATTTAGCAAGCCCTCCTGGTGATTCTGGTGCTTGCTAAAGTTTAAGAAGCCCCGCTCCACATCCCTTGAAGACAGGGGGCTGTAACTTACTCATCAGTAAGTCTCAGAACCCAGCGGAGTGTCTGGCGTGTCGCCACGGACAATAGATGTTTATTGAATGACTCGGTGAGCCCGTTGTCAGGGACTATAGCAGCGTTAACAACACTTGAATGTGCAGGCCCTCTCTACTGTCAAGAGCTCTGTTTCATAGCTACTGACTTGTTTATGTTTACGCTCTGCTGGAGGCAGTGCAGCCTAGAGGTCAAGTGTTGGTTTGAGAATCAGATTACCTGAGCATGAAGGTTACTGCCACCGCTTACAGGCTGTGTGACCTTGGGCACCTAACACTACCTCTCTGAGCTTTATTTCCTTATTTATAAATTGGGGTTATGTTATTTGCCTAAGAGTTACAGAAGAGTAATTAAATGATAACTGAATTATCTGGAAAATATTAAGCATATATATAATTATATATAATTAAAGGTAGATACTCCTGAATGTAATGACCTTCAGAGGGAGGGGGAGGGGGATTTGCACCGGATAGTCTTGACTCTGCAGTGGTGCTCAGCCCCATCAGAAGGCCTCGCTCTCTTGGCCCCTTACCTCTGGCCTGGGAATGAACCCTCCCTACCTTCACTCCAGAGGCTCAGCGTTCCTAGCAAACTGGGCCTATTCATTTCCCTTTTAGCACTAGGCCCTCAATTTTGGGAGAAACCTGCCCAGAGGGTCCAGCTCCCCTTACCCCTTGTCAGGCTCACCCTAATGTTTGTGGGACACAGAGGATAAATACTGATAGAGGTCCCTGGCTTAGACCTGTACCTCTTTTTTCCCCAGTCCCTGGTTCCATCCTTCCATGGGAAGCTTGTGTGTATGGTTTCCAGTATGCAGACCGCCACCCTACTTTTCAGGCCCAGGGGTACTCAGGCCAGCAGCTCAGTGTACCCTCAAGAGGACAGACCTGGTGCAGAGGCCTGGGCAGGCCCCAGAATGCATTTAGGCAGGGAGTTCAGGGCATTGGGCAGCCAGAGTGTGGTCTACAAGAGGGGTGTGGGCAGGCCTGTCCCTTTGGCCGCAGACTTCTCACCCCTTGTGAAGGTGTGGCCGGTGGAGGAACAGAGGAGGGTCTTCTAAAGCACAGGGCCGGGGGCAGGTGGTGCTGTTTGTCCGGCCTCAGGGCGGCACTGGGTGTGGTCAATGGCTGTGGTCAGAGAGTCCTGTGACCACCATCCTTCTATAAGGACAACGCTACTGACTGTGCATCAAAGCACCATTGCTGCAAGTGATGATTCTAGTCCTGGAATCAATTTTCTTGGGCTGGGCCCTGGGCACATCGTAACTAAGCGTAAGACAACCAGGCAGGTCTAGAGGACAAAATGAAGTCCTCTGGAACCAAACCTGAACTCCCGGACTCATTAGCACTGTGGGTCAGCTGTAGACCTAGGACAGGCCAAGGGTTAGGGTCCCTCCCATTTGCAAAAAGCTGCAGCCAACCCCGACCCCGATCCTGCAGAGGGGGCTATGACAGCGGGAAGACTGTGGGATTTAGAGCCGGGAGACCGGGTCTGTCCTTCGCCCACTGCGTGACCTTGGGCAAGTCACCTTACAATTTGATGCCCACCAGGTGGGACCCTCAGAGGATTACTGAGCAGATTGAACGAGACATATTGTGAAACGGCCTTGTAAGCGTCTCCGCTCTGGACAAACAGTAGCTGTGGTTATTAATATTTTAGAGGAAAAAGCGCAGCACGGCATCAAGATCCCTGCCGAAAGGATCTCTGGGAGAAAGCAGGCGTGCACAGTGAAAGAGAGGGTGGAAGAGTACCAGCCCTTAAGAAAAAAATCGGGACAGAGCAAGCAATTCAGGCCCGTCTATGGGATTTATACCGTGGACCCTGGGCCTTGTCTCTCCCTTGTGTGACAAACCCTGCCGACAGGACTCTGTCTACCATCCACACAAGGAAAGTCTTCTCCTGACTTTCTGCTGCTCCAGGTTGGGAACGCTAGGAATATTTTGACAGAGTTCACGCATCAGGAAAAGGCAGCAATGCCTCATCACAGCCCACGAGCACAAACGCAGTTACAGCCAATACAAATCAGCTCCAGGGAGGGAGGGGAAGTTTGGCGCTGAGAACCGTGGTGTAGGTGAATAAATGAATGAATGAATGAGTGAGTGAGTGAGGGAAAAAGTGAAGTGAACCAGCATATAAAGAGGAACTATAGGCTATACTTCATTCTTCGGGGTTCTGTTTCAGAAGTCTCCTCTTTTCTAGAAAGCTTATCGACTTGCGCTATTGTTTAATGCAGTTAAGAGCTAATTATTTTTATGCTGGCTGACCAGAATCAGTTTTAATCTCTTGCTTTTTAACCAGATTTATAATCTTAATTGCCAGTGCTGAATGCCCCATTATTTAAATAGCCCCGTAGCCTGCATTGCTATTCCCTGTGACTGATTTCTGACCTTTCTCTGAAGGGTAAGCACGACGCTGGATTCAGACTTCCTACATCCTCATCTTGATAAACTGGCCTTCATCTTGTACCAAACTGGAGATATGATGATAAACTATCTTACACGGTTATATGATCAAAAGGCTGAGTATTTACCACTTAAGAGTCCAGTCAGACAAGCTTGGTGTACAAGCACACACCAGTCTGTTTGATACAAGGTAGCTTTGATTTTGCTTTGTTTCCTTATTTTTGGTCCACAGGATACCAAACCGCTGGATTAATGGATTTCTTTCCCGTGGACGAGTGGATCTAATATTTGATGTTTTACCTATTTCTGAGGATCTCCAATGTCAGCAGTTACCTGTTTTCACAAACCACCCCTCACTGTCCTGGTGATGAGTGAGGCAGCCACGCTGGCCCCTAGGCAAGGGGACAGCATCCCCTGGCTCCCATCCTGCTGGAGCTTACAAGACATTGGGAGTGTGGGGTGTAGATCGAAGGATACAGCCAGTCAAGAAACGCCTCTATAGAGAGGAAAAGGGGGCATGGCCTGCTTTGCCGAAAGTAAGGAGGAATTCGGGCTGGACCAGGAGGGAGGTGGGTGTGAGGCCCTTGGGGGCTAGGCTTCAGCAGAAATCCTCATCCTTGCTCTGATCAGATGCTGCTGAAGAACTGAGTTTATGTTTTCTCCCTGGGGACAGTGGTTCTCGACCCTCTCTGTACCTCTGAATCCTTTGTAAAGTGTCGAAAACCACGATGGTCAGGCCCCACCCCCATATTTGGCTCTAGGGATCTGTGGCAGAGACCCAGGCAATAGAGTTTTTAAAAAGCTTCCCCGGGTGATTCTAACGCATGAGTTGGTGTTGAGACCTTGTCCCGGGCTTGCTAGCTGCAACTTCTGCTATACCACACCGTCTTTCCCTCTTTAGCTACTTAAAGAGCCCTCAGCACACCCAGAATGGGACAGAGGCTGTGGATTTGACTCCTCGAATACAGTTTTCAGTTTTTTAAAAAATTAATTTTGTTGTGCTAGGTCTTAGCTGCCGCAGGCGGGCTCCTTAGTTGCGGCATGAGAACTCTTAGTCGCGGCATGCATGTGGGATCTAGTTCCCTGGCCAGGGATCAAACCCCAGGCCCCCTGCACTGGGAGCGCGGAATCTTAACCACTGCGCCATCAGGGAAGCCCCCAGCCGTCAGTTTTTAATGTTTGATTGAGAGGGTGCACACACAGGGCCCCTCGTGGGATGAAATGTCCCCACTGTGTACATCTTAAACTTCTTTCCTTTACGCAGACGTTCCAGAGGGACTCAAGAAGCTCTTAGAGGCCGCTTGTCCAAGCCTCTCCTTTACAGATAAGGAAACCGAGGTCCTGGGAGGTGAAGATACTTGCATAAATGTCATTCTGCTTGTTAGGGGACAAGAAACCAGCCCTGCTGCCAGGTCTCGCAGGAAAATGTGGCCAGTGGGTCGGATTGGCTTGGAGTTGAATCTTGCCATTTACCAGCTGTGTGACCTTGGGAAGTCCCATTCCCTCTCTGAGCCACTCTTCTTATCTATGAAGGGGAGATGATATCTACCTACCTTCCAGGGTGGCTGTGAGGATTAAGTGAGAAAGTGCGGCTAAGCGACACATCCAGATCCGATGACTTTCTTCCCTTCCCAGCTTCCCCCCAGGACCTTCAATCCACGGCTCTTTCAAGGGCGTGAGTAAAAGGAGCAACTGAACTAGGGCAGCAAAGGGAGGAGCGGGAAGGGACAGCCCCTAATGGGCCTCTGATGGCCTCCCTGTGCTGCCACCAGAAACAGCTGCTCAGAAGCAGGAGGTTTCAGTGTCTGGGATCCGGCCAGGCAGCCCTGAGAGCTCCTGATCTGAAGAAGGCGGGCAAAGAAAGCTTCACAGAATCCGATCTGTTTGTTAGAGGCAACTTGCAAATTCAGTTCTAATGGAGCTTTCAATGCACTATGTTTAAAGAAACTCTACTGATAGATTTTCTTCTATCTTCATCTTTGTTCAAAGTGAACGATGCCCTTAATACAGCAGACAAACACCAGGTGTAACTAAATCGTATAGCTCAGCAGGGAGCATGACATTATTTTTCAATGACTAACCTAGACTGACAATTCTGTTAATAGGATTAGGGTTCATTGTGGAACTGTTTTCTCTTATTAATTTGGCTTGACTTACATATACATTTTGAATTGGCTAGAAAGAGGGGCACCTTTGTTTTCAGACAAAAATCTTGTGGCTTTATTTAAAATGTATTACTGCCTCTATTGGCAAAAAAATATGACATCTTAATTATTATATAAAGTAATTCTGTATTTTATACAAAATCATAATGTCGAATCCAGTCTTGTTCTTTTCATGAAAATTGATTTGAATGTAACTCTTATGGCTGATAGATTCCTTCTGCTGTTTTTGATACTTTGTTCTTTGGGTGTGTTTCTGTTTTCCTTTTTTCCCTATGACATCGATCATTCAGCAAACCTTTTGTGTGTGTGTGTGTGTGTGTGTGTGTGTGTCTATGTGTTTGTGTGTAGTATGTGCATATGTATGTGTGCGTGGTGTGTGTGTGTGCGTGCATGTGTGTGTGTGTGTGTAGTATGTGCATATGTATGTGTGCGTGGTGTGTGTGTGTGCGTGCGTGTGTGTGTGTGTGTGCAGCTTCTGCATGTCAGACACCATGCAGGGCCCTGATGACAGAGACAAAACCTCAGCTCCTTTGTTAAGAAGCACACAGTCCAGCAGGTGAGAGTATTCAGGCTGGAAAGGTGGCATAAGAGACTTGCACTCAGGTATTACGCGAGCATGGAGGAGGGGGAGGGGAGGGAGGTCATGGAAGTTTCTGGAAGAAGTGGCACTAGACCAACGTCTTACAGGAAGGAAAGAGGTCACAGGGAGCAGGGTGTAGGGGACGCGAAGCAGGAGAGTAGTACAGTCCAGGCAAGGGGTAGCAAGAAGTGAGGCTGGAAAGTTAGGAGCCACATCATGGTGTACAGGCCAAGGGGGCTGGACTTTATTCTGAAAAGTCATGGTAAACCTTCGTTGTTTTTTTTTTTTTTTTAATAAAAACAGGGGAGGAGGGGACTTCCCTGGTGGCACAGTGGTTAAGAATCCACCTGCCAATGCAGGGGATACGGGTTCGAGCCCTGGTCTGGGAAGATCCCACATGCCGCGGAGCAACTAAGCCTGTGCACCACAGCTACTGAGCCTGCGCTCTAGAGCCCGTGAGCCACAACTGCTGAGCCCGCGTGCCACAACTACTGAAGCCTGCGTGCCTAGAGCCTGTGCTCTGCAACAAGAGAAGCCACCGCAATGAGAAGCCCGCGCACCACAATGAAGAGTAGCCCCAATCGCTGTAACTAGAGAAAGCCCGCGCGCAGCAACGAAGGCCCAACGCAGCCAAAAATAAATAAATAAATAAAATAAAAAATAAATTAATTAAAAAATATATATATATATATATAAAACGGGAGGAACAGAATCAGTTTGCATTTTGGAAACCTCACTCTGCAGTTCTGAGGGAAGCAAGAGAAAGTCAACGATCTCCTTGACGTATTGTAGTAAAATTGCTGAGAAGTGACGAGCCCTGCACTTGGGGATGAGCTGAGAATGACTTATGAGGTGAAATGACGGTGACCTGGTGCTTTGTTGTATGTGGGGCTGGAGGAGGAGGGACGAGGCAAGGGTGACTCCAGGGGGAGTGCTGGGGGGGAGCCCTCGGTGGAGGTGGAGCCTGCAGGAGGCGCAGGGCTGGGGGAGGATCGGTGTCTGTCCTGGATCCGAGCTAAGAGGTGCCCGAGCAGAGGTGGACGCAGCGGTGAAATTTAGGGAGAAGGTCTAGGAAGGCGGGATAGATTGGAGTCATCAACACACACCTAAGTGGCAGCTGAAAGCAATAGAAGACGCAGCCATTCAGGGAGAATGTGATGGCTTGAGTGGGACAAAGGGCAATGGAGGAAACACTCTGGGATATTCAGAAATTTGGGGGCAGTCAGGGGAAGGGTAACCCTTGAAAGAGACAGAGAAGGAACAGTTTCAGGAGAAAGAGAATGAGAAGGATCGTATCCAGAAGCTGAGGAGAGAAAGGGCTCCAAGGAGGAAGCAATGAGCTAAAGGAGGCAAAGAAATTTCTGCCCCAGGAAGAGCTGCTCCAGGAGGAGGTCCCCAAAGGAAAGAGAGGAACCGTCTACCGCGTTGAGACCGACCGCCGAGCGTCGGCAGGAGGCAGCCTTCGGCAGAGCAGTGGGAACAAGTAATTTAGGAAGATGCCCAGAAAGCCACGTTCAAAGTGCTGTTTGCTTTAGTTGGGAGAGACTTGACCTCTTTTATAAAGGAGAGGCCCATAGGGAGGAAACGCTGAAGACACAGGACAGACGATCATTAGTGGAATGAGACCCAAATCTAACATGAGCATCATGGGTTACTTTAGGCAGTTGAAGTCCCCTGATTACCTGGAATTTGAAAACCAGAGGAAACCAACATAAGGGTGGACGTGAACGTCCTCATGACGGATATACTTTCCCACAAACACGTCTGATTACTGTGATTTGATGCTTGCATTTATTTGACTCCTTATGTGATGAGTGAAAAGTGGCCATCAAAAGACAAGGGTACGACCAACGGGGGTGACCTTGACGGTGAACGATAAACCCGGAGAGGAGGCCTGTGCTGTTTGCCGGACACCAGGGCTACACTCCTCCTTTCAGAGGCCACATTTCCTTTGCCCCGTCGGCAATCGACTGAAACTCTTTTTCACAGGAAACACCAGCCAAATAATTTCTTTAGAAAATACAGTTCTAATTCCAAAATGTGACACAGTTATCCTCATTAGACCTGACGGCTCCTGGGAAGACATCTTCCTCAAATCCGCTCTCCGTTGGGCCTGGGTGAGGGGACGGGCCCAGAATCCGCTCCTGCCGGTTATGTAACCGCTGCGAGTGACCGTGAGGAACTGTGAATGAGGCCCCCAGGCGTCCCCCCTCGTTAGCTGGAGGACCTGGTGAATGTGTCCAACCGCCTGTGGGCTGTTAATAGTATTAGTTCGGCTGTTTACCCAACACGAATTTTATAAGACGGCACCAGGGCTGAGGATTCTGCAAACCACGAGGGGAGGGAAGGTTGTTATCAGGAGCCCAATAAGGTCCTGGTGAGCCTTGCTTTCCGCCCAGCACCATTTTCTTTGTTAGACGGTTGTGTTCAGTTCTCAAGTCTGCCATCCTGGGTGGAGACACACGGTTTGGAGCGGGTGGGGGAAGAATGGAGCATGAAGAAGTACTGGGAAAAGACCAAAGAGGCTCAGGGGAACTTTGAGTCCTTGGGCAAGTCCCTTGATCTGCATGAGTTTCATGATGATGCATTGAGTGTACACCCATGATATGTGCTTTTCTGTATATCAAAAATGTTTAATAAAAAGAGAAATGCAGGGCTTCCCTGGTGGTGTAGTGGTTGAGAGTCCGCCTGCCGATGCAGGGGACACGGGTTCGTGCCCCGGTCCGGGAGGATCCCACATGCCGCGGAGCGGCTGGGCCCGTGAGCCATGGCCGCTGAGCCTGCGCGTCCGGAGCCTGTGCTCCGCAACGGGAGAGGCCACAACAGTGAGAGGCCCGCGTACAGCAAAAAAAAAAAAAAAAGAGAGAAATGCAGCTCAGACCCTGGGACCAAGCAGCCAAAGCGGCGCGGCAGTGTAGGAATCCACACCTGCCCTGGGAAGAGTTTAGAGAGGCCAGAAGAAGGGGCGGAGTGTGTGCTTCTCCCATATGCCCGCCTATCCTGAGGTCATGGTCGTTGCTAATGACGATACCATGTCTGTCCTACTCATGTCTTTTGATGACCTTTTTAAAAAAAATAAAATAAAATTAATTAATTTTTTTTGGCTGTGTTGGGTCTTTGTTGCTGCACGCGGGCTTTCTCTAGTTGTGGCGAGCGGGGGCTACTCTTTGTTGCGGTGCGCGGGCTTCTCATTGTGGTGGCTTCTCTTGTTGCGGAGCACGGGCTCTAGGCGCTCGGGCTTCAGTAGTTGTGGCTCACGGGCTCAGTAGTTGTGGCTCGTGGGCTCTAGAGAGCAGTCTCAGTAGTTG